AGAGCTATTTTGCAACTAAGATCCATGGATGTGTGGATGGATAGAAAAAGAATAGTTTGCACTGAAGTAATAGTACAGTGTGACAGGCACTATTCCCATTGCTGTACATATATCACCTCTTGTAATCCTCAAAACAACTCCATGAAGTAGATGTTATTTTCTTCATTTTACAATAGAAGCAACTAAAAGCATGGAGAGGCTAACTGACTTGCCCATAGTCAAATAATTCATGCCAGATGAAATGCAGATTAGAACTCAGGAAATCTGGCTCTGGCCCCCTAGTCCTTCACTAAGACACTATATTAACTTCCTGCAAGTGATTAATTACATGCTCTGTGCAGTGTGCCGTAGCTCCTGTGTAGGTAAAGATTGATAGTAACCTCACAATACTTAAATTCAGTAGATTGTTCTCAGTCATCATTTCAATTTCTTCAGCAACTTTCAATACTATTGACCACCTTATCTTCTAAACTTGCTCAAACTTCTGAAATACTTAGATAGTATTTTACACTATCTCCCCACACTCCCTTTTTCATCCCATGTTCTCCCAAACTATAATGTAGTCAGTGTCACATGGGAACTCTTCTAATTTTGCTCTACAGAACCTATATCTGAGTTTTCAGCTCTTCCATTTATAGACCTTGTACTTAGTAACTGCAAAATATTACTATGCTTTATGCTGAGAGAGACCAGACTTGTTCATCACTTTGTCCTCTTCACCTGGGTCAATGATTGATGTACTTTAAGTCACTAATAAATGTTTGTTGTGTGAATTAATGATTTTGTGACTAACAAGTTGACATTGCATGCAAAAGCACTCTAGTGTTTTCTTGTTATTGTGTAAATATCTCTGGTTCTCAGTTCCTCCCAGCTTCCCTTTGGGTCCTTTTACTCTTATATTTTAAGTCCTGCTGACTCTGATCTCAGAGCACAGTCCTTCCCTGAGAGCGGCTACTTAAAAGACTCACCTGTATTCCTGAGTTCATTTCTCACCTCCTGTTCTTACTTCAATCAATTCAATCCCTAATCTACCTACGCCACTGAATCTGCCAGTGTCAAGTGCACCAAATCCAGTGCTCACTGCTCTGTCATGTTCTCACTCAGCGACCTTTAAGAGGTATTCACCACAGCTACCCACTTCCTCTTTGTTGAAATTTACCTTCCTTGGCTTCTATGCATCATCTACCACATTCTCTTGATTTTCCTCCAACATCACTGGTACTTTTTGTCCATGTATTAATGATACTAAGTCCTGTATCTCCAGCCCTAGATTCTTCCTAAGGTTGTCTCATATATTTAATTGACCTCTTGACCACTTCTCATGAATGTCCAAATGACATATTAAACCTAAGTTAAGTAAAACCTTTATCTATAGCCTCCCACTTCAAATCATTTCCTCCCTTGATCTTCCCTGTCTCAATAAAGAGCACCAACATCCACCTAGTTCCAAGACAAAATCCTTAGAGAAAAGCTTGATTATCTGCTTTTCCTTAGCACTCATATTTTATCCACTGTGGTAGTTATGTTTATGTGTCAACTTGGCTGGGCCTGGTTGAGTGGCTGGGCAGCTGGTGGTAGTTATTCCCCATGATGAGACCGGCAATCAACTCCATGGTGGGATCTACCACAAACAGCTGAGTAGCTGCCTTTGGGATGTGGTCTGCTTCCTGTATATAAGGAGAAACCTTCGAAATGGTCTGTAGCCTATGTAACACTTGGACCCTGCATGTAGCCATGTCGTTGCTCAGCAGCCTGCTATGCTCTGCCGACCTTGGGACTTACAGTGGACTTAAGCTACCATGTGGTTTGGTAACATCAAGACTGTGCCTTTTTACTTGTCAACCTTGGGGCTTCTCAGCATCAGCAGCCAGTAGCTGTCTGAGTGAAGAAATGCCTCTAGCTCCAGTGGGCTGGGAGAAGGAGGCAGAGCTAGACCCCAAGTTTGAGGGGCTTTGACCCAGCCCCTAGCACTTTGAACTTAGACTTAAAGCTTCCAAATTGTAAGAATAAACTCCTGTTTGTTAAGGCCATCCCATTTGTGGTATATTCTTGTCAGAGTGGCACTAGGTAACCAGAACATCCACCAATAAATCACTCCAAATCTATGCAATTTTCTTTGTCTTTGTCTTGGTCACTATAACACCAAATGAAGCCACAACCATGAATTCCTTGGAGAATTCTATGTTCCTAAATGGTCTCCTTCCATTTGTGAACTTACAATCCATTCTGCATGTAGTAGCTAGAGTAATTTTTGAAAATAAATATAAATTTTATTGTCATATATCCCTTCAGTGGCTTCACCTATCTCTTTAAATAAAATTCAAATTTCTTACCACGGCTCTTAGGGCCTTAATGATGTGGTTCCTGACTCCTCTCCAACCTCTTCTCCTGCCCCTGTCTTCCTTGCTTGCTATGCTACAGTCACACTAGTCTTTCTCACCTTTAAACACAGCAAGCATCCTATCACATTTAGACCTTTCTCCTGCAGTTCCCTCTCCTTGGAGCACTTTCCCTTAGATCTGCACATAGCTGGCTTCTTGTCATTATTCATGTCTCAGCTGAATGTCCTTTTCTCAGGGAGAGTTTTCTAGTCAGATGAACTGCAGTAGAGTGAATCCAGGATTATCTGTCTCATCACCCTGACATATTTTCTTCAGAGCACTTACCACACTATGAAATTTTCTTTTTCATTAAATATTTATATGTTGTTGTTGTTGTTGTTATGTGCCGTCGAGTTGGACCCAACTCATAGCGACCCCTCCTTGGGTTTCTGAGGCAGTATCACTACGGAAGTAGATTGCCCCATCTTACAGATACATATATATACATATAAAAATATATATACATATACACATATATATGTGTATATATATATATGTTGTGTGTGTGTGTGTGTGTGTGTGTGTATATATATATATATATATATATGTCTTTATCTACTGTGATTAGATAAGTTTCATGAGAATGTCTTTTCTCTTATTCATGTTGTATTATCTAAGTCTAAATAAGGAGCTCTAGTGGTGTAGTGCCTAAGGCATTTGATTGCTAACCAGAAGGCTGGTGGTTCAAACTCACCAGCCACTCTTTGGAAGGAAGACTGAGCAACTACTTCTGTAGAGATTCTGCCTTGGAAACCCAAGGAGGGGTTGCTGTGAATAGAATGGACCTGATGGCAGTGAGTTCGGTTTTTGTTTTTAGTGGTGTACTGGGCAAGGCACTTGACTGGTAACTGGAAGATCAGTGGTTCAAACCCACCAGCTGCTCCAAGAAAGGAAGAGAGGAAGATCTACTTCCATAAAGATTTACAGCTTTGGAAACCCAATGGGGTCACTACGCATTGGAAGCAATTTGATGGCAGTGTGTTTGGCTTCTTCTTCTTCTTCTTTCTTTCTTAAAGCCTAAAACAGAGCCCAGTAGGTAGTAGTTGCTCAAAAAATATTTTTGGTCTAAATGAGTAAATACAGGCATCTGATAATTATTGATTATTGTGTAGAAAGCAAGAAGGGCTCAAGCTTTAACACTCCTTCATTCAGGTAATATACTATATGCCTTCTATCCTCTGTGACAAATTCAGAGAAACCTTTGACTTTCACCTCCATCTAATTGGAAGAAGCATTTATAAGTAATGAGAAAACAATTTTAAGAAAGAGGAAAAATCCCATTATGTTTCATTTATTCTGATGGATCTCTTACAGTATGGAGTATCTAAGCAAGCTTTGGAAATTTTCAGTAAGGTGTTGACTTAGGTGGGAAAAGAATAAGGAAGAATTAGAAGTAGAGAAATAAAGGTAATCAGAAATCACTAATTAAGGGGGAAATAAAGTGTGGTGAATGGCCTATGAAATTTGGGCCATGATGCCTACCATAGAACCTAGACTTACTGGCTTTGAGCTTTATGAGCTGTGATTAGCCTTCACAACCTCTTTGTGTCCTTGCTTAAGGCGCATAAGTTGAACCATATGAGATGCTGGTATTTGATCATTTTTGTTGACAAAAACAGAATTTTACATAATTTATCCTAGACTAGCTGAATCCCTTATTATGAGCTAAGGCCAGAGAATGTGAAGATGTAGGAGAAGCTGATTTATAGGAAGATTAAAAATAGATTCATTATGACACTAACCTATGACAGGTTTGCAGAAGATGCTTTAAGCTCTTCAAATCACCAAAGAACACCCCACAGATACTTCATATCTTCAGAATCATTTCAAATGTGAATCTGCTCTGCTTCAACCCAAGGGTGCTTTCCACAGGAAAGGAAGAGAAGACCAAACTCAATTTCTATCAGAGAATGCCAGTACAGGGACATAGGTCTGTACTCCTTGAACATCAGGGCTGAGGAGGAAAAGGAAAGTGATAATGGAGGAGGCCTCTTGATAGTATAGTTACATATTAGGGAGAGGTATGAACATGATAGATCTCATTAAGGACATAATATTATGTTCTACTCCACATAAAAAATTCAGAGAACATTTCCCTTTATCTAGCTACCTCAATATAATAAGGGGTCAGGGGAGGAGACTGGGTTAGGGTTGGACATGGTGAATGGGGAATGAAACTGAATGTATGTGTTACATTGAATGTAAAACAAGCTCTTAAAATAATAAAAAAAGAGAAAAGATCCATGAAAAAAAATAATAAAAAAATATAATAAAGGGTCAATTGGATGGGAATTATTTTAACATCATTATTTCCTAATCCTCTCAAGAACATGAGGGAATGAGTTGAAAGGCTGGAGAGATTTTATTGGAGGAGGGTTGAGAAGAAACAGGCTATATTAGTGCCTTTAGAATCTCTCACAGAGAGCGCAATCATGTACAATTTTCTTGTTGTGGAAAGAATTTGGATCCATATAACAATGACAGATAACCACTGAAGAAAACGTCATTTTTTTCCCCTCCAAATAACCTGACTTGACATGGTCTGGATACAGTGAAAAGTTAACTCTTTCCCTACCTTACACCATCCCATAACAGCTACCAAACAAGGTGTACACTTACATCGGATGTCCTTGGACAAAGCCAGAGCAGGGCTCCCCACCATTAGTATCAATGTCAGAGCTGTCATCCAGGTGTCCCTGGGCATCCAGAAGCACACCATGCTGGAACACAGGAGAATATAGGGTCTCTCTCAGTGAGACCTGTAACCCTCCTCCACACACACCAAATAATAGGAACCAAGGAACTCATTGCTTTGCCTCCGCATTGGGCAACCTCATTTTTGAGAACAAATCAGAATCTGAGAGGAATAGCATCATCAGTTGCTGGTCACCAATTCAGCATGAAGGTCTTTTTCTGAAACTCAGACTTCCTTTCATTCAGAGGCTTATTTCAATGTGGTGCATTAAAGATTTGATCCAACTGCAACTAAAACCTTCTAATTGGTCTTACTGTGAGCTAGCTGTTTGCTGGTGAGTGATGTGTACACACAAGTTTAATCCCTTTAGGAGCCCATGTCTCCTATGGTAGAGGCAGTGCTGTTTGGACAAGTGTATATATTAGTGTGTTTAGAAGTAGAAGTGGGAGGAAAGATGACTGCAAGTCAGGAGATCTTTAATCTTAATCGGCTAGTTTAGTGCTGTAAACCAAAACCAAACTCACTGCCATCGAGTCAGATCTGACTCATAGTGACCCCTCCTTGGGTTTCTGAGGTGGTATCTCTACGGAAGTAGATTACCCAATCTTCCTCCTGAGGAGTGGCTGGTGGGTTTGAACCGCCAGCCAACTCAGTGCTGTAGATTTGGGAAAATTAACTTTTCATAAGTGAAATGAAGACAGTGATTATTTTTTTTTTTAAATAATCTTGATACTGTGATTTTTGGACATCCAGGAGCCTCCTCAAGGATGAGTGTTTGTTGGTAACAGATTGCCATACAGTGAATTAATTAATATGGCCCTTCCAGCCATAGTTCTTTATTTTGTGATATATTGTAAATCCTAGCTACTGTGCCTGTGGTTATGGTCCCATTTTGGAATGAATTGTCCACTATGTTAATTAAGTAGGATTAGGGAGGGATGTGTACTGAGTCACACTCTTACTAGAGGGAATGACCTGAGTTTCCTTGAGGGTATTGTCAGCATCCAGTATATATGAATGCTTTGGCAATGTTCACTCTCTTATTCTCAATACTGCATCTGGGTTCATCATCATCTGACCTCCAGTTCTTGGAATCTGAGACAGTAGGAAGCAGTATGACCCACTGAATTGAGGTTTTAGCCCTTGCAACTGTGTGAGTGAGAAGAATCCTCCAGACTGACGCCTGACCCCTCAGATTTGGGAATTGCCAGCCAACAACAATAACACACTGCATGAGCCATTTCCTTGGTGGTTCATGAGTTCTCTGAGATGCTATAGTGAATTACAGCACCCTAAGATGGAAGGGATAGAACTGAGTGAAGGAGGAGGAGTTGATGTTAGAGATGATGAAGTGGTATAGCAGTTTGAAAAAGTTGGACACTTGGGACATCTTTAACCTCCACCTGATAGGGACCAGCCTTGTGCTGATCCTTCTCAATGAAACAATTTGAGCTGTTGGCATCATTAATGGGATTTGTTGCAATTGCCAATTGCTCCAGACTCATGGAAGCATGGAAGTTTGTAAGAGAAAGAATGAAGGGACATGAGAAGTGAAATTTTTGATTTTTAGATGGTTATTTTGGTTGTTGCTACCTGTAATGGCTGAGTGGAATGTAAGAGATATCAGGCTGTAGCTACGGGGAGAAAATCCGCAAATGGAATGGCTTGAGGCAAAAAACTAGGCCTATTAAATGAATTAATTGATAGAGGGCCATGGTCTACTAGTTCCACTCATCCAAAGGCTCAAGCCTACATATATGTGAATGGGAAGGTAGTCAAGATGTGAAGAAGAGAAGATGAAACTGGAATATTTTACCAAGAGTTGTATTTACCCAAATGTACTATGGATAATGAATATTTCTCTTACCTAGTGTTGTAAAGCAGATGTAAATGTATGATGGAAATGAATGGGAGCCTGTAACTCTGCCTTCAGCCATTACATAGTTGTATGTGTTAAAAGGGGAAGGAGTGATTGCCCAGAAACAGAGCTTTTTGTTTCAAGAGTATTGGCAACTTAGGTACAAAACCTGAGCCCCAACCAGAACCTTCAGAGTCAGAAAGTCTGCATTTGCTTATTCAGAGCCACCCAGAACAGCTGAGAGTAGGAAATATGCATTTGAAGGAAGGACCTGCAGGAAACAAAAAAATGACTGTTTGGCTTTTCAATTTCTAGCAAGCAATTTGCTCTTCTCTGCATTAAGACGGGAAAAGGCTGCACCCATCAAGAAGTGCCTCTTTCCAGGACTGGAATTTAAAGAGAGCTGGTGAGTAAACAGCCTGGTATGCTCATTTATTGTGGACACTTGAGTCCATTCCATGAGTGGAAGTGGGGGAGGTGCAGCAATGAGGAGATAGGCTGAGTTTGGATGTGTTCCATTGGCACCTGTTGACTTAGCCTATGGGTGCTAAGGATGACAGAGGAAGTGCTGCTAGTCTGAAGTGTAGGGAGTTTTGTGGACCCCTGAATGTAGGGACCACTTGTTAACCCAACCCATAGGGGCAAGGGGTGAGAGAGAGAGAAAGAAGGGAATGGCTGGTCTAAAGGGCAGGGAGGTGTGTGATCTCCTAATCTTATGGCTGGTACCCATTGACCTAGCTTGTATATGGCTAGGGATGAGCTGGCTAGAACACAATTGAATAAAGAGGAAAATGTTTGATGCTTTGAGCTAGTGTAAATTGCTGCAATTTGATGGCTTGCTCTGGAGTGGACTTTTCTTATTAATATAGATGCTCAAACTTCCAACTAGAACAGAAGATTCTTCAGAGAAAGGAATGTGTTTTTCCCTTGGAGTACTGATTTGATAGATGTGATAATTAAATTTGTGTGCCAGCTTGGGTGGACCATGATTCTAAGTGCTTTAAACAGTTATGACATAGTCATCCCCCCATGATGAAATCTGATATAACATAATCACGTCCATAAAGATATGTGCTATGAGCAGCTGATCAGTGGAAAGGAGTTTCCTCAAGGGTGTGGACTATTGCCAATATATATATGGGCATCTTGGAAAATTTTTCTGACTTTCTGCTGGATCTTGATCCTGCATCTAGCTCATCATCATCTCCAGTTCATGGACTTGAACCAGTAGTCTGCTATCTTGCCCTTTCATCTTGGGATTTTTGCTTTCCAAGCTTGTGAGCCAACAATCTGCCATTTAATTTGCTGATCTTGGATTTGTCATCTTCTGAAGCAAGCAGCCTACTATATATACTGCCTGCTGATCTTAGATTCATCAGCCTCTGTAGCTGCGTAAATCAAGAGAAGCCTCCAGGTTGACAACTGACCCATGGACTTAGGACTTGCTGTTGTTGTTGTTGTTGTTATGTGCCATCGAGTCGGCCCCGACTCATAGCGACCCCTTCTTGGGTTTCCGAGGCAGTATCACTACGGAAGTAGATTGCCCCATCTTCCTTCTGAGGAGTGGCTGGTGGGTTTGAACCACCAGCCTTCTGGTTAGCAGTCAAGTGCCTTAGCCACTATGCTACCAGAGTTTCATGAGCCATTTTCTTGAGATAAATCACTCTCTCTCTTTCTTGCTCTCAGAGTAACTGGTTTTGCTTCTTTAGACAATAGGAATAGGAGCTGTGGTGGTGTCGTGCCTAAGACATTTGACTGCTAACCAGAAGGGTGGAGGTTCAAACCCACCAGCCACTTCTGAAAAGGAAGATTGGGCAATCTACTTCCTTAGTGATACTGCCTTAAAAACTCAAGGGGGGTCACTATGAGTCAGATCCAACTCAATGGCAGTGAGTTTGGTTTTGGTTTAGACAATAGGGATAGCGAATTTCTCAGTTGGGCAAGGAGAGGCAGACAGATAAAGACATGGGTGTGCTTACTTAAAATGATTGGAAGGAGGAAACTTTCAAGTATGAAACAGTTAATGGTTAGAAGAGGCAGGGGGGTCTGCAGTGAAGTAAATTGCTTGGTACTGCCATTGTCTTTTGTAATTCATACCTGATGACCATGAAAATGTGAGGTGCTTATGGCCCACCAAGGGGATTGGATAGCTTGTTAATAATGTAAATACAGTGCATGGCACCCTTGTAGTGATAGGACCATGCAAGTAAGGTATATGGTACCCTAAAATAGGGATGGATCAGTTTCTTCATCTTACTAGGCTTAAAATGAGCAATACCAGACATGGAAGGGCAGGATCTCACTACCATCAAGAAACAACACCAGGAATGGAATGAGTCCTTTTGACCCGAGATCTCTGTACTGAACCTCCCTAATCCAGGAGACAGAGAGCTGTGACACCAGAGATGGCAAAAAGCAGTGGCAGAGAAACTGTGGTGGCAGAGAGTCTGTGGCAGCAGAGGCAGCAGAACTAACAGACTGGCACAAGGCAGAGGGGTCAGCTGCCTAGCTCACAGACCAGAAAGCTCATTGCCTTCTGGCAGAGTGGGATGCATCTGGGCATTTATACACAGAGCCAGTCTCACTGAACCACTGAATGAAAAAGCAAAGTGCTTTTGGCCCAAGGCTCACTGTCGGACTCAGATACCTCTAGGCATTCAGCAGAGCTAAAAGAGCTTTGTAACAATGGCCCAAGCAGGGCAGAGATCAGACTGAGGGGATGAGGGCTAAAGGCAAACCTGACTTCAGGCATGGCGAAGGGGAGACTGTCCTGATTGAAAACTGTATCATGAGCATTCCTGATCCTGAATTGTAACCTGCTACTTCCCTAATAAATCCCATAATCCTGAGTATTGTCTGTGAATTCTGTGTGGCCATTGCAATAACTTATCAAATCCAGCAGAGGAGAGTGCCGTAGGAGGGGCAAGTCCTTATTAATATTTATTATCAATTTTAATCACTGATAGTAAGACAGAATTATATCTTTGTATTGGAGAGTATAGTCTATAGCTCCTTAGAGTTAGGGATGTTTCTGATAAACAAAAGGAAATTGAAAGTTTCACCTCAGTGAAATTTGTTTTTTTGGTTTGTCTTCTGGCCTCTCCACAATACATTGGAGGTAATCTATGCAGAACTGAAAGTCTTGAAGGTACTTTGTATGTCACTG